AAGAGATGATGCAAACCCCTCAGAGGACCTCAGATGATGCCAACCCTGAAACAACATAAACTACCAAATTTTGCTACAAGTTTGATTGCAACATATAATCATTGCTGTTAATAGTGTTCATCGTCTGTTTGATTACGTCATTAACTGAATTTTACCGTACATTTCTGCCATATGTACATCAATTTGACAGTCACCACTGACAAGCTACTACTAAATAAATTGTAGAAACTTAATTTTCTGTAAAGCTGCTTTGCAACGATTTGTATCGTGAAAAGCGCTATACAAATAAACTTGAATTGAATTCACTGTGGTTTGTTGCTGAACAAATCAGTATTTTTGAATCAATCAAATGATTCACCAGGCAAATGATTCACCAAGTGTGTTCCAGAATGAATCACTGTAGAGTCAGTCAAATGAATTACTTAAGGGAATGAATCAATGATTCACTCATAAAGACAGTCACTTTTTGCCACTAAAAGCCCCATAATGATCGACTAACATCCTGAATATTTAGAGAACGTGTTCCCCTCAATGTTTATAGTAAGCAACTGCCACTATTATTTTCCTTCAATAAATCACACATTTTTGGACAATGTACTGATTGAGTCCTCTACAACGTGCTAGAGAATTGATACATCTATTCAAAGTCATCCACAGCACATTGTAGGTACTGATATCGAGAGAAAATATTATTTTTAGTTGTTTTTGGATGTATATTTAGGCACAGTTGAAGCTTACGCAAAACTTGAGTGGTCAACAATATTTCTCTTTATCAAACGGTCATGTCTCGTGCACTACACGAGGCGAACTTGAAATCGTTTCTCTTTCGATGAAGTGTTAAAAAGAACAAGCAGGCCTTTGATAAGGTGCCAGCGACCCCTCACATGACGCAGCAGTTGAAATAGGGACAGATACTATTCATATGCCTGATAGTCTCTTCATTTACGCTGCCTCAGGCCAGAACTGCACTCACATGAACAGCTATACATTAAGGCACACTTGTTTGTGATAAATGGGGTATTCAGGGGACCAATGACATACTTTTAGTTCAGACGCAGCATGTCATTAGAGAGTCTAGGCCGTTTTTTTTAGGATTAAGCATGATAAAGCAGAACATTGCAATTAGGACACATCTCTATTTTCAGCGAGAGACTGAAAGAGTGACTTCTAATGGTTTATTTTTAGACTTTAAGACATCACACCTGGTTTGTGGTCTTTTGGGGCCATCCTTTGTTAGATATACATTTCCAAAAAAGCACCAAAGTCAGTCAAAATAGCATTTTTTTTTATTTTCCACCTATTTCACTTGTCGTCCAAAAAGATCATGATGTGCAAATGCAGCATCTTAATGGGTACATATGAAGCCCGTCCATAGACCACACTGTAGTTACCAGATTTATTATTATTATACTTCCAGTTCAGATTATACCAAACATGTTTCCATGGTAACTTCTCAATCAATCTTTTCATTCAGATCATTTATCAACCTTGTGTTCAAACACAAAAAAATATGATTTAAGCCACATTATTTTAGTATGAAGGTGAACTTCTGAAAACATCTGGAGAAACATTTCCAGGTGAATTTCACCAAGGTCAAATTCCAAAATGAAAATGGGGGAAAAAACAAGAAATTATATTGTGCAAAAATAAGCAATGGCATTTTTTGTGGACCATTATGAGTTTTGTTGTGTATTCTCATTACTCAATAAGTTCTCATTACTCAATAAAAAAGAAAGAAAAAAGAGAAAATGTTATAATTATAATAATAAAAATAAAATATATAATAAATTATATATATTAATATATTGATTGATTGATATTTATTTATTTCACGTGCCCTGCTCACTCCAAAGTCCCCACTCCAAGGGGATAGGAATTGATCACTTCCATTTGGAATTTGCCCGTGAACTGTTCGGTACACGATACGCGTACCGTTACACCCATATATATATATATATACACACACACACACAGGTTTGTTTTTGTGAAAAGTGGGGACAATATGTACGTTTTTGCTGCTATGAAGGAGAATGGAACGATGGGAGATGTCGTTTTCACCATCATGGAATTCACAAATCATGTTCACGGATGAGGTAATGAATTTTTTTATTACCTGTATGTTCCACAGTTATTCAAACAGCAAAGAAATTATACAAAAGCGAGCAAAGAACATTTACATTGTCAAAGAACATTATAACTGACTTCAGTCTAGCGTGAGTTTAAGCACTCTCAAAAAACTCCCCTTATAATCATTAAAGCCGTCTATACACTGTTTGATGAATGAATCTCTTACTTGCATCATACGTACATCTGCACTTTGCTGTTTATGATGAGAGAATTCGCGAGAGGAGAATTCAGTCAGCGCGCACGGAACATAATCTCCGGCGTTTTAGCAATGACTCATCTGAATGCCTCTGATTGGCCATTGTATTCATAAGATCAACAGACTCGTGAGTGATTGGTTACAATGCGCAATACTGTAAAAACGCGTTAAAAAAACCACAATGCAACATTTGGCAGATCTAAATTTAATGTTGCAGTCAACACTTTTCATTTCAGCCATAATGGATTTAGTTTACCTGTGCAGCGGCGTTTTTGTCCATGCTTGTACAAACTGAGGATAGCGCGGATATTACATCACTGATAGGTGACAATTGACCATGGACAAGCCATTATTTAAATTTGGAATTTCTCTGGATTTACAAATACTTGGGAACTTTTGGGATAACGTAACTACAGAACTCCATGAAATATATTACACTGAGCAAGTTGTTTTTGGATATTTTATTACTAAAATCTTACATACTGTGCCTTTTAATTATTATCGTTTATATTGTTCTTTTGCTATTAGGGTGAAATACAATTAAACATTTCTTTACCGTTTTAATAATATTCACTATGCTTTTGTAAATCTTTTTCTCATGTTTAGACAGAAAGAACCTGAGAGAAAGCGGACGTATACCTTTTTTATGTCTGATTCCAGAGCCCTCGCCCTCCTCCTCTCTCTTCCTGCAGCTGAGCTCAAACATGTTGACTGACACACTGGAGCGGATCTCTTTCTGCGCCAGCTCCATTCGATCATAGAAGACCTTGAAGAACTTCTCAGACTTCTTCTGCTTGTGCAGCTGATTGTAGAAAGAGTTCTGCAGGGAGACATGCAGAAAATGACTAGTGGTCGACCGATATATCGCCTATTTGGCATTTTTCAAATATCGGCCGATAAGTTTTTCTGTTTGGCCGATGCGTTCGAGGCCGGACTTTTATTTTGACGGCGCTGAGTGCGGCAGCGCCTGAGCACACAGCGCTCACGTTCTCCCTCTTGTTTGCTGTCGTCGTTAACTGTTCTGTCTAATAGGGATAAAAGTCTGTCTAATAATCCGATACAACTGTTAAACAAAGGATTTAAAATGTATACAAATAGTATTATAACGATTGCTTTTATATTATTAGTAATAGAAAGGCAAACATTATAATACTTTCTCGTTTGCCGTCAGCATTCAGCAAATATGCATTTACATTATTTAAACAAATCTTTGAATGGCTAATGAAAATAAAATTTCACAAACCTTACAAACTTGTTGTGAGATCTTGTGAAGTGTGTTCTCTGCGTGACTTTTGGTCTGTGCTAATTGAATGCTTTAAACATTAAATTCGTGATTTCAAATTATGCTGCGTTTTATGCATTTGCCCACTGTCATATTCATGTCATTTTCACTTAGATATCGGCATCGGCTGTCAAAAAACCATTATCGGTCGACCACTAAAAATGACATCACCTGAATCTTACAGATGTCCCGTTGTGAATGTGTGTCCTGTTTATACCTGAATCTGTGTATTTCCTCCTCTCAGGAGTGCAATGCCCAGTAAAATGCTCTCCTCAAAGATACGGTCGTTCTTAGTGCTGACGATGAGGTCGATGACCAGCTCGGATGCTCCAACGTTGTCCAGAGCACATTGGATGTCTACTACGCTAGTGCCTGGCTTATCAGAGTCCTGTCCTGGAGAACCACCTATGTACACACACAGAACACTGTTGAGTCAAGTATGAGATGAGCAGAAGTTGGGCGAGGGGATGCATAAGGTGAGCCACCAGTGCTTCTGCTGATGGTCATTTATGAGACGTACCTCCAGAGGAAGAGCTGTTCCCGCCACTGTACTCCAGGGCTATGGCGTGGGGCCGATGGCTGCCAAAGTAGTGTGTAAGGAGACTCTTCCTCAGTGTGTTACCCTGAGACCAGAGAGGAAGGCAGTTGGGTCATCCTTTAGAGTGGATTTTTCAGTGATGAAAATGTTTTCAAATATTCATGAAACCTCATTCAGAAAGGCATTATTCTATAACTTAAAATATAATTGAAAAATTAGAAATGGTTTGAAACTACAGTATATTCTGCACATTAAAGTAAACCATAACTTGCAGCTGCCTATATAAGATGTCTGATAAAATAAAAAATACACAGTACAATTAAAAAAAATTGGCATCAAAAAGTATTTTTTTCCTTTTTTAAGCTAGGATGCATTCAATTGATCAAAAGTGACAGTAAAGACATTTATGATGGAAAAAAAAAAACCCATCATAAATGTGTATTTTAAATAAATGCTGTTCTTTTGAACGTTCTATTTAAAGAATCCAGAAAAAAACACATCACTGTTTCTACTAAAATACTGTTTTCAAGGACATTTCATTTAAGACTAAATAAATGGCTGCTGAAAATTCAGCTTTGCCATCAGAGGAATAAATTACATTTTAAAATATATTTTTTCTATAATTTTAGATTGCATATTTTGTTGTTTTAATGTTAAATTTTAATAATATTTCACAATATTACTGTATTTTTGATCAAGTAAATGTTGTCTTGCTGAGCATAAGAGACTTATAATAATAATATTTTTTTTTTAAAATAATAAAATTTGGAGACCATCTTAGAAAATTAATATTTTATGAATTTATCACTAACATTACAACCCTAGCTCCACTTGTAAAAAAACAAAAAAAACACTGAGGCAGAAAATTAACACAGAAAATAATAACCTTAATTAATATAATAAAATATAGCTGAACCCATAACATTCCTTAATTTATTATTATTTTGTAATTAAAAAAGCCATTTTTTGACAACCTAGTGCAAAGATTCATAGCAGACTGTGTGAAGTGGTGAGTACTTCATTTCCTGTCCGTTTTGATTCTCTTCACACTTTTGAGTGTTTTCCACCCAACTGTGTTGGATAAAAACACACTCGCATGGGAGAACTTTTACATAACTAGTAGAAACTGTAGTAATTGCTGTAATTATGCCAGAAGTGTAGCGAAACCTCGGGGAGGCAGAGGGTGAGACGGCAAGTGCTGAAGGTAGAGAGCAGACGGCTGCCTTGAAAATCTGTTTCCCAGTGGGAGAGAAACTGAACGTGTGAAAAAGACCGAGGGTGGGGGGGGGAGAGAGCGAGAGCGAGCGAGCGAGATCGATTAACACAGAGAGAGAGCGAGAGTTATGTAACACCTGGTGGCGGCTTGCTGAGAGATCACGAGGAAGACACAGTAGAGGGAGCGGGATGGTACTGATCGTCTCTCCCTTCTTCTGTCTCCTGGCCGAATGTTCTTTCTTTTCTTTGTATCCTTCCTTCATTTTCTTGCTTTTATACATCTGGCTAGGGATAGTTCCAGCTATTTTTGAGACTGACAGAGAAAGACTGCATTCATGCAGTCAGTGTTTGGGATCGACAAACATATTTACCAACAGGTGTGACTCTCCAATTGTCCTGTTCATTCGACAGCTTGCAAGAACGGGTCAAACAGCATTTGTATGAAGGAATAGCGAAGTCAAGCACATCTTGCAAAGGCTGTTAATAACAGCTGTAACTATAGTGACAGTCACTAAAAGAAATATCAAAGACGGCCACTTTTATTACACCAGAGTCTTCACAACTGACATGACACTTCATGAAGGAATCTTAAATAATACAAAATAAAAGATAAAATAAAAAAATAACATCAAATAGGGACATAACAATTAAAAACAAAAAGGAATATAAAATAAAATCCATAATAAAATGGTTCAAATAAAAATAAAATAAAATACTACTAAAAATTAATAACTGATAATAATATTGATAACTAAAATAACAATTAAATAATATTAACGAACAATAATATTATTATTTTATTTTATTATTGACAAACATTAAAAATAAAATAAAAACAATAAAATAACATTTTTTAAATAAAAAATAAAAAATAAAATAAAAAATATGACAATAATGAAATAAAGTAAAAGGTAAAATTAAAATATAAAATAAGTGGCATAAAAATAAATAAAAACAAAAAGGAATATAAAATAAAAACCATAAGAAAATGGTTCAAATAAAAATTTCAATAAATTAATAAAAACAAATCAAAATAAAATAAAAAAGAATAACTGAAATATTCGTTTTATTTTATTATTGACAACAGTGTTGGGTGTAATTAGTTACCAAGTAATTAGTTACTGTAATTTAATTACTTTTCCCTTGATAAAGTAAAGTAAGGAATTACTCATTTTTTCTGTAATTTAATTACAGTTACTTCTTAAGTAATTGAACTTAATACTGTATAGACTGTAGAAGATTTATATACAATACAATAGTGGATTTAACATAAAAATGTAAAGTCTAACATTAAAATGCATGATTTTATGTACCTTTTTTATGTATTTTTATGTGAGTTAATAAGAATATTGGTAACATTTAAGTGTCCAATTACCACTTTTAACTAGTTGGTAATTAGCATGAATATTACTGGGATATTGGCTGTTAATTATTACTTAAAAAAAACACATATTAATGTCTTCTAATTACTAAGTAATTAGTTACTGTAATTTAATTACGTTTCCCTAGAAAAAGTAAAGTAATGGATTACTCTTATTTTTTTCTGTAATTTAATCACAGTTACGTTTTATGTAATTGAACTTATAGACTATAGAACATTCATATACAATAGTGGATTTAACATACAAATTTAAAGTCTAACCTTAAAATGCATGCTTTTATGTACCCATCTCACTTTAAATACTTTGGAATTAATAAGAATATTGGTAACACTTTAGTGTCCAATTCTCACTATTAACTAGTTGGTAATTAGCATGAATATTACTGGGATATTGGCTGTTAATAATTATTACTTAAACACACACATTAATGTCTTATTCTGCAAGACCTTATTCTAAATCCTTAATCCTACCCAATTCCTACACAATACTTAAACTTAACAACTACATTACTAAGTATTAATAAGCAGTAATTGGAGTATACTGAGGCAAAAGTAATAGTTAATAGTTAGTTAATAGTGAGAATTGCACTCTAATCTAAAGTGTGACCAGAATAATTCATGTAGTTATCTATTATTTATTTGAAAGAATTAAAATAACTGTTTCATGTCTATCCTTGTATCATTAACTTGTTGAGGTCGATATAGGATTTAGAAAGTAATAAGTAATTAAATACTTTTTGGAGAGAGTAAAATGTACAGTAATCTAATTACACTGTTGAAGATGTAATTAGTAACTAGTAATTAATTACTTTTTGAGAGTAACTTACCGAACACTGATTGACAAACATTAAAAATAAAATAAAAAATAAAAAATAAAAACAATTAAATAAAAAATGTAAAAATTAATAAAACAATCTAAAATAAAATACAACAAAATAATAAAATAAAATAAAAAATCGAATTAAAATATAAAATAGAATAGTGACAAATAAATAAAAACTAAAAGGAATATAAAATAAAACCAATAAGTAATAAAATGGCTCAAATAAAATAAAAAATTAATAAAAACAATCAAAATAAAATAAAATAAAAATGAAAAACTGAAATATTTATTTTATTTTATTATTTAAAAAAAATAAAAATAAAAAATGAAATAAAATAATTAACAACAATAAAAAATTGGATAAAATAAAATGTTGAGGTCGTCAAAATGTTAGTTTACTTCTAAATATTAACTTACATTATTTCCCTTCTGAAAAAATAGACTAAAATATTGACAACTCAAACTGCACAATACATTCTACCAATTTTGTCCATTCAAATGCCAGAACGACAATGTCCCTCCTGCTAACAACACCTGCAACTGACTATTAAATAGCAAATAACTGTTCATGAATACCCTGTGGATGGCCAGGAAAGTAGTAAGGTGGTGGACAGAACATGACATTCTACTGACTTCACCCTTCCACACTGTGTCACCCAGGAGGATAATGAAACCCAGGGTGGCCGTGTGGCCAGGCATGCGCCGACACAAGAGTGGCAAACTGCCACAGAGAGAAGACACTTTTCTCTCTCACTCTGACAAGCACGTGCTGTTGCTGTTCCCACTCTCTCAGTAAACACTCATCAGCAGTCAGCACAGACTGTGTCTGCTTCCACTGTCTGGACGAGCGGTCACACAAACAAACACACACACACACACACACACACACGTACTCTATTAAAGAAATAGCTCATCCAAAAATTTAAATCCTGTCATCATTTACTCACTCTCATGCTGGTTTCAAACCTGTATGACTTTCTTTCTCCTGCAGAACATGAATAATATAATGATAATATTTTGAAGAATGCTGGTAAACAAACCATTTTGGCGACCATCGACTTCCACTGTTCAGTATATGGAAGAAAATAAATACGGAGACATTTTTCAAAATATCATCTTTTGTGTTCCACAGAAGAAAGTAAGTCACTCAGGTTTGGAACGACATGAGCGTGACTAAATGATTTTTCATTTTTTAGGTGAACTATCCCTTTAAGTTTCAGAAACCATCATAATGAACCATATTTGCCCATATTCAGGGCGTCTTCATATCATTTTCTGCACCTGTTCACTGTAATTGGACATGCTTTACTAGAAGCTGCTCTCTTTCCTACAAAACCAGCTGTAATAGGGGAGTTTAGTGTCTCCTGATGCTGCAGTCTTTCTTGCACTTCTGCACAGGACTTGATGGGAAGACCGAGGAGGAAAGTGAGAGATGAAGGTAGCAGTGCCAGTCTGACTCATCCGTTTGCTGCTGCATGGCAGAGAAAAAAAACCCTGCGCAGGTGAAGTGAGGACAAAAGAGAGAGAGAGAGAGACAGAGAGCAAAAAAAAGACAGATAGGAGATAGAGAGAGAGAGAAGGGGAGGTGAGGGAAAGATAGAGGGATAGATAGAGCAGTGGGGAGGAAAAAACAGACAGGCTGACTTTTTTTAAAATGTGCACGGGC